TCTCAGAACGCGAAATCTATTCTTATGATAAATATATTATTAATTGGTACTTATTTATCGTACGTTGTACTCAGCTCACGATCGTCCCTCCTCGGATCTCACTTGTCCTTCGACGAACCGCAATCAATCTCCATCGTCTCTGTCTCGATGACCTCGGACTTTGTGCTGTGACTGACGGATGTAGGCTCGATGAGAATTCGGTGCGTCTCGATTGGGTTTTGGCCGAACGCGCGCACTCACTATATGCGTGCCATGCTGTCGAACGCGCACTAATTATTAATTACACTATGCGTATTATTGCTAAAGGCACTCACTGCATATTTGTGCACTGCCGAATGTACGTGCTGCCGAACGCGCACTTAATATGCGTACTCTCCGAATGCTTGATTGATAGAGTTCGATAATTTGTAATTAAAGCTCGCGACGCCGGGAGCGCGCCACGCAGTACCATCCACACGCTGCGCCAATTCCCTACTGCTGAGCGCCCCGCGCCTCGTCAGCGCGTAGCGGCCGTCGAGCCGCCGAGCCCGGCCTCCCCACGCGCATGCGCGCGCTGCGCGCCTCGCCGCTCGCCGCGATGTTAATTCAATTGTATGGAATTTTGAAGGAATAATTACACCGATATTGAGCATATCGTATATTGTTCTCCGTGCTCTCCGGAAATAACGAGTGACGACAATACTGTAGAAGCAGAGACTCACACATGACTTATTACATATAATTTAATTTTGGACGAGAGAGAAATCGATGAGTTCCTCTTTTTCTCTGTTGCACGGCTAGGATAAAAAATCGTAATTGCATGCTGTTAATTATTACAAACTTCTGATACACATTACGGTGATCTAACAGATAATTTAATACGCGAAATAGGCAAAACAATTCCGTAATTAACTTAACTGTAAAATAATTTGATCGCTTAAATTACCCTTAGCCAATTTCTCTCGCTCGGTATGATAATTTAAATGGAAACAGTCCAGGGGTTGGTAAATAACTGACACAACTATATAATTATTTAAAATAACAAATATAAAATAAATTTTAGAAACTTGTTTAAAATAAAATATTGCAGGAGCCAGTAAAAAATTTATTCAACTTATTTAAAATGAGAAATATAAAATATATTTTCCAGAAACGTATTAAAAATATTAAATAAGAAATAGGTTAAAAGAAGCTTTAAAATAATGAATACTAAATAATACTTTTACTTTTTTTTATTTAAAATATATATTTTAAATAATTATAATATTATAAATACGACCGAAACCTGGATAACACGCAACCATGTAAGAATATATTTAATAATCAGTAAACTATATTACGATTCATTATATTATAACAAATCTTTCCCTTTGTTCATTCTGACGATATGTTAATATTGCATATATTAAGACGATCTTTGTATGATATCAGCTCTTTAACATATAACATGCATTTATATATACTTGT